GGCCATGTTTCTGTGACAGCTACTTCAAAAGATGAGTCAGGAAGATGCTGGGAAGGCACCCTGCTGATAAAAGGAGTCTCTGCATATGAAGCCGAGCCCATGGGCTATCCGGACATGGAGAGACTGCTACTTTACACAACAGGTGTCCCCAACACCAGATCAAGAAATGTATGTCTAGGCAAGGTTTATTTAAGAACAATTGTTCTTTGCCCAAGATTTATCTACATGGCACACAGTCATTAAAACTACCAGACTGGTGGAACTAACCTTCTTGGATGTTTAGCAGACATACTTTGAAGCCTATAATAATTTGGTCAGAGGGACATAAAGGACAGTTTTGGCTCCTTGCCCTTCTAGGTCGACTAGTTCCAGGGGACTATGAGCATCTCTCAAAATGTCCTGTTATTGTGGTAGGTCACCTCTCCTTTTGATCACGGAGGCCTAGGAGACCCCACGAGATGTGCTTGAACCAGTGTCCAGTCTACAAAGAGGAGGGTCAACACAGAGGAATCATTTTCTCCATACTTCCAAGTGAAGCCAGCCATGGTCTAGCAGGACCTTTGACTTATCTTCACATAGGCGGAACTGGTAAAAGAAAGGAGCCAGGGGCTCCTCCCAAGCCCATGTGACCCCTGAGGAACAGATCCTCAAATGACCTTAAGAGTAAAAATAAATTGGTTTATCTGGGCCAACTGTATCGCCGTAAATACCGAAAAGGAAAGTATAACCAAAGATTAAAGGGGCCAATATAATTTTTTAAAGAGTCCATATGTATAACTAAAGGTTACATAACAAGCAACAATGCCAGTTAGGTGATACCTTCTTTTGAGTTGTTGACCAAAGTGGCCCAAGAGACTCCCAGAGAGTAACTCAGCATAGAACTGGGAAAATGAATAGCAGACCCCAAGCTTATCTAAAGGAATATTGACAACTGATTGCTGCTTGATTAGGAACAGATGACCTTCCTAAAACAAAGACCTCTAGACAGGCTGACTAGATTCACCAGATGGACAAGTAGTGGGGAATGGCTGGGGTGCTGACAGTAGCAAGGATAACAGAGAATAAGGGCTCTAGTCGGGGGAGGGAGGCTGTGGGAGGGTGGTGCCATCTGGGAATTGTGTGTACAGTTGAGTAAGATGGTTTTGGATGTTCTGTGTGATATACCCCCCACACACACACAAATCAAGAAGTTTAAAAAAAATGAATTATTTTGAGGAGGAAGCATAAAAATTTACATCATGTTAATTAGTAGAAGTGATAAACATTTCCATTGAAATCTACCTGATGACTTTATAGACATACACAGGTGCCAAGGATTTGAGTGTAGCCCATTATGAGTAGTAATAATCAGATACATACAGATGAGAGATGCATGCACCCAAATCTCAGTGTTATTAGCCAAAACAATGAGTCTTTCTGTAAGAAACAGTATATTTTAAAATGAAATGGAGATCTTTTTTAAAGGTTAAAAACTCATTCAATTTTATGTCTTACAGGGTTTGTACTGAGCTCAATATTGTATAACTAACTGTATTAATTCAACAGTGAACCTAAAAATTTTATAGCCACTTTTGAAAGAGATGTATCTTTGCTCTGGAAACTGTTGATGAGTATGTTAAAGCTGTAATGAAATGCTTCTTCTAAAAACAAATTAAAAAAATAAAAAGTAAACCTCTCACTCATACAACATGAAATCAGATAAGTGTAGAAAGGAGGACATGCGGATAGGGGAGGGTGTCTAAAATGGTCAAAATATTATTGTATCAAATTCATAAAAATTTAATAAAAACTTTAAAAGGAGGTGAAGAATACATGAAAAAAATATAGTAAACATGGCAAACAATTTGGATGTCTATAAGCACTGCATTTTCCTTGCTTTGAAACCAATTACTGTGGTGATGTTGTCTTTGCTAATATCTTTTAATGTAGTCATGTTGTGTATAAGTTACAATATGTGAGTCTGATGGGTTACTAACCTTCTGACCATATCAGGTGGCATGGTTAAGGGAGAAAGCAAAGCTAGCACATAAGTGTCCTTGAGTATCTGCCTTCACTTTTTCCTGTGTTCTTTAAGTTTTATACATATATAGCATATATACCATTGTGCATAGAGAATTTGCACCAGTAATTGTTTAACAGTAAACTTTGATTTGTGCCATTATTTCAAGCAATATATTTAAATATTATCTCCATAATAAATATAGTTGAGCTCAACACTTACATAATAATTAAAGTTTTCAATGGATATTGCCATTAAAATGATGTTTCTGAACAATATTTGTTATTTTATATCTTGGCTTTTAGTTATTCATCTTATCATTAAACTAGGAATGTTTATATCTTTACCTCATCACACTGTTCTTTTGATAAAGTTCTCAGAAAATTTGTATACCGAGAAGGTAAAAGTTGTCACCTGAAGATATTACCCATGTGTGTATTCAGAGAAGAAAGACCTTTAAAATAGTTTTAAGTGTATGATAGAATTTTTACTGGTTTGTTAAGATACAACTAGCGTAAGAAACTACAAACTTAAATCTGTAGTACTGATGAGCTCCGGGCCAACTGTGGCTACAGGAAGACCCTATCTCAAAAATAAATAAATAAATAAATAATAAATAAATAAATAAACAAACAAACAAATAAGACCAAAGCTTTCAAGCTTA